TGCCTAGACTAAAAGCATTACTGCAAAATTATAATTAATTCTATGTAATTAAAAGTTTATTTGTAATCGCTGTTATAATTGAGGTTCTAATAATGGGGAAGAGATATGTAGGATCATAAAAAGTAACAGCGTAGTTACAACTTTAGATTAAAGGAGTTGCGTCTGAGTTAATAATAAAACGTCTGAGGGGAAACAAACGCAGCATATTTCCCCACTTTGAAGTTCACGCGAGATTTCTCGAGAGGAGAAGTTGAGGGAACATGGCGGCGCCGTCTAATTTGCTGAAGGTAGGATCCTTGATTCAGTTATTATTGCCTGCAGCACCTGTCATTCTCACAGTGAAACGCTAATGTTTGGGTCCCAGTTTACCGAACAGCACCGGGTCATGCCGGCGCTGTCAGGGTTCGGCCTCAACTGGCAACAGTTTAGTTTCTTCAAGCTAACATTAGCTGCTTCTTAGTGATGTAGCAGCTAAACACAGGAGCTATAGCAGCGCTAAAATAGGTAGAAACAACTGGAGCCGATGAGGGACAGAACCTTGGGATGAGTCGACGTTTTACTGCTCGTTCTGGTACTGTAAATATAACCACAGATTTCTTCCGGGCTGGTCCCGAAGCTCATCAGCTGTCATTCAGCAGAGCTGAAGCCTCTTTAGACCAGAAGGGTGCTGCCTGGATCAGCTGTCATTAGCCTTTTTCCCTCCTCCTCACCGTTTCCATACATTCAGCCACAGACTTTCTGTCTGTTCTCTCTATAACAGGTGTCTGCCTAGTTTTTAAAAGGGCTGCATTTTCATTCATTGCACCATAAACTTGGCCAGTATTCATAGAAGTAATGCACAGGCAACCTTTTTGTCTTGACAATCAGTGATGGTGAGATGAAGCCTCATGAGGCATTGAACCCTTTGGCCAAATTGCTTCAACTATCCCAACAGTTCATGAGGCTCCATGTGAACATGTCACCACCTGTAGTACATAACTAGAGTTTGTAATAAAATCTGTGATTTTTTTCCCCAATAGTTTTTCTTTTTCCCCCTCTTTTGAGTTCCTTTCAAATTATTAATGGTTGGTGTGTATAATAAAATATCTTGTAAGTTTTTTTAAGTGTAAAATTTCTTAGAACAATCATTTAAGGTGCACAGTTTTTCTGCCATTTTAGTTAAATAAACTCAAGCAGACAGTGAAAGTTTTTGTGCAAATTGGGCAATGATGAGCAAAATGAAACGTGTTAGTCATTTTAATTCAAACATAACAGTTTGTTCCACATTTTTTGGTTTTAATCAGGTTGGAAGTTGATTTCAACCAATCTTTTGGCTCAACCGACCTAATATGGCAGCGTTTTTAACCCATCTATATTTTTACTAGTGCAAACCAATGCAAATTAGTCTCATTAGCCAAAATAGTTAAGTATAATCACAACTTTCAAAAGTCAAAGGTAGGTCTTGAACCATCAACCTCAGAAGAGGGAGTCTGTGTCTTACAGATAACGCCACTTACGTATTAAACTGTTCAATGGAGACAATACTACTTAACACTAATGTTACAAATGTGCCCAGTGGCTTGCTCAGATTTTGATCATTACATTGTTTATTCTAACCAAAATAGTTTTAAGCAACTAGATTGGTTGGAAAAACAACCAATCTATTCTAAGAACCTCTCCAAACTCTATACAGCTGACAGCAACTCCTGCAAACTCCCACATCTTGACTGAGTAGTGAGGCTATTTAAATGCCTGTCAAAATTCTTGCGCTTCCTGAACCACTTCCCAAAGCAGTGACATGGTATCACGGTAGCGAGGCCTCGGACGTCATCAATTTTGGCCCCTCCATCTAAATGAATCACGCCTCGACACGCGCTTCGGGGAAACGCCCCCTTCATTACTCGACACACGCCTCAAAGCCTTAGCTCATCTCGTAACATCACTAACAGTCAGCCTTTAAATAAGGTATACATGTTAGAAACAAATACATTTTTCCCATTGATCTGAACAAATAAAGTACATTGTCAACAACACCAAAATTATATTTGTATAGTAAATAATAAGAAAAGGAAAATTCTTTGTCAATTTATACCTCTATGCCTTAAAATCTTTGGTGCAGAGTTTGTCGTAGTGGTTTATTAGCACGTACACCCTGTGTTGTGTAGAAAATGACTAGATATTCCTCATATGGAGCCATTATATATAGGTTTGTTTGAGACATTATATAATGTGACTTCAGCAGATGGATCAGCTCAGTAATTCATCGTCTTGGTGCCCGAGCCGCCTCAGCTGACTGCTCTCAATGTGGAGGAGCAGCAGCTCCCTGATACTCAAGCTCCTCCTTACATTATTATTAAGGGAGGAGCACTCTTTACATTTTTATCCCACAGCGTTTGTTTTGGGGTCTGTTAAGAAATTGTATCCAAGCTTTGTATGATGGATTACTAAAGTTCCACAGCAGACAAACTCGTCTGGCATGGAAAGAATGGAGTGGTGTGAACAGCAATGGGTGTGGCCTTATTTGATTCAAGACTTCTTGTGTGGAAAGGTGCTCTTGCTATGAACTTCAGGCTAAACCTAATTTTCTCATTATATTGACGGTAAAGAATTACTTCTTTGCTTTAATGGCTCTAACATGATAGAAGAAAGTTTTAGATATTTTATGTAACAGTAGGAGATGAACAGAGAAGGATAAAATATAGACAAATGAAGAAAAAAACAATATTTCCACTTGGTGTATCTTGTAGTTTTTCCTTTTTCTGTTTCTAGAACAAAGGCTCCCTACAGTTTGAGGATAAATGGGATCTGATGCGCCCCATCGTGCTGAAGCTGCTACGGCAGGAGTCCGTCACCAAACAACAGTGGTTCGACCTGTTCTCGTACGTTTTTTTTCTTTTCTTTCTGCGCTTGTTACTGTGATTACTGGAAGTGTTGCTTCTCAGTGGCAACAAAAACTGCCATTTGTTTGTCTCCTTCTGGTCTATACAGAGATGTCCATGCCGTCTGTCTGTGGGATGACAAAGGTCCCGCAAAGATCCACCAGGCTCTGAAAGAGGACATCTTAGATTTCATCAAACAAGCTCAAGCAGTAAGGCATGCCGTTGATTTCTTTCCATCTTTACACAAACTAAAAGTGGATTTTACTGCAAGAAGAATTTGTTTCTCTAGTCTTTTTACTTATAAATATAACTGCTTAAAATGTGGTGTTAATTTATACTCAAACAGCTTGACCTAATTAAAAATAATGTCTCAATCTGATGTTATCAAAGCTGGATTATCAAATTGTAACAGAAATTATCAATTTGCATCAAGACAACTCTAGTTAAAAACACAGCAGACAGATCAAGCAGTCGTTTAAAGCAGGGTAAGGTTCTAAAACAATATCTGAAACTTTTAAAACCTTCCATAGTCTTGTTTAATTCATGAACTTAACCAAAAGAGAGACCAACCAACTGCAGACCAACCATGATATGGACTGCCACTGTCAGGAGGTGCATCATAGCTCTGGAGGAGCTGCAGGGAGCCACCACTTACATGGGAGAATCTTAACACAGGACAATTACTGGTGTTTTGTTGTTGTTGTGTTTTTTTATTCTTTTTCCATTTAGTTTTTTTCTTTTTTTAATGGTAACTTTGGAAGAAGAAAACCATTGTTGATAGATAGATAACTGGATGGATGGATGGATGAACCATGAATTAGATCATGGGTCGTGTTAGACAGTCAAATCTGAAAGTCATCTGTAATTTTGACCGTTAGGAATTCACACCATGACATCTTGGGGGCATGTAGTGTAATAATTAGCTGTTCCTCACTTGTTAAGAAAACCCCCTCATCAGATCACCTCATTTGGTGACATTTTCCTAGATTTTAAAACTTTGGCTAAAGTTGTATTTGTAATTCTATCTGTTGGAAGATAGCAGGGTTCAGCCTCCAGAGCAAAATTAAAACAGTCCGAGCTGAAAGTGCAATAGGGTGGTGATAAATGCCTTAGTAAGAATTCAGCTGGAGACTTTTAAAAACTTACAAGCAGGTGTGAAGCTGTGAGAATTTGTGTTTTTCTTTTTTTGGGTGATCATTTAATTTCATTATTTATGTTTGTTTTGTCACTTGGTCCACTGTCATGATTCTTTCACAGCCGTGAAAAAGCTCCATATTTTATGTGGGTTCTCTGTTCAGCTTCTTTGGACTGGATATCAGTTAAATGAATGAAAATCTCGCATATAAATTATTACCATTAAAAATGATGGGTAGAAATAAATTATGACTTTAAAGAAAATGTAAAACTGGAAATTGAAAGAAGTCTAGCTCAGCCTCTGCTGCAGACAGAGCAAGCATGTGGAGAAGATGCTCTAATCAGAGCAAAAACTAAACTCAAAAAAATATATAGATAAATTGGTCCCCATGGAGAAACGCAGCATTATGCTTACAGGTCAACCAATAGGAATTGTTTAGGACACCCTCCAAGTGTAATTAATGGTCTATTCACAGAGTAAAAAGTTGCACCTATCTGGGATCTACTTTGGTTTAAAAGCTGCTCCTTATCTTGATATACTGTATATATATTGTTTATTCTTAATGCACCTTTTTTCCTCCTTGTTAGCACCTTCTTTAATTACTATGCCAATATGTGACCAGTTAGTTTAAGCAGCTGTTTGGATTAGGCTCTGTTTAAATGTTCATTACTGATTTTTAGGGTAGAAGATGACTTCAGATGTCTTTCAGTTAGATAGCTGACTTTATATTTAAAAGTAAAGGTTTTGTTAAGAAGTCCACACTGATGTCATGACTTCAGTACCTAGGCCATTTTTGTTGCATGTTTCTTTATTTTCTGTCCTGAATTAAATGTTGCAGATAAGCCCTATCTTTTGCTTCTAACCTTTTTTCCAAGCGCGTGCTGAGTCACCAGGATGACACGGCGCTCCTGAAGGCTTACATCGTTGAGTGGAGGAAGTTCTTCACTCAGTGTGACATCCTGCCCAAACCTTTCTGCCAGCTGGAGATCACCCTGATGGGCAAGCAGGGAAGCAACAAGAAGTCCAGTGTAGAGGACAGCATAGTCCGGAAGGTGAGGAGAAGCAGAGTTCTGCTGTCTGGTTCTAACCCAGCGTTCATCCACTGTTAAAGCAAAATGGGGATTCTTGTTTTGGTGTTTGCAGCTCATGCTGGACACGTGGAACGAGTCCATCTTCTCCAACATTAAAAACAGGCTCCAGGATAGCGCCATGAAGCTGGTCCACGCCGAAAGGCTCGGAGACGCCTTCGACTCCCAGTTGGTCATCGGAGTGAGAGAGTCTTATGGTAAGAAACACTTTTGATTTAGTGAAAAAGTTTTCGGAGTTACTGTGGAAATCATCTCCTGTTTTGGAAACTCAGATTTAGGGCTGGGTATTTTCGCCAAAATCCTGTATCGATTCCATTTTGATTCATACGGTTCTAAATCGATTAATTTCGATTCAATCTTTTTTTTACAATAGTGAAAGTGGTTCAACTGTGTTTCAAAATACTCATGTAATTTATTTTTTCCTGTCACATTAAACACAAAGTGCAAACTTGTAAATCAGACAGTTTAAACTTGAGATGTGAACAAAACTGTCTCATAAGTGGCAAACTTGTTTGTGAATAGTGAAAAAGTGAAAACTTTCACGAGCAAGCAGACGTGACACAGCGGGAAACGGCAGACATGCATGAGCTGCATTATCTCCGCTGCAGAAACCATATTTGCAGCGTTGTCTGTAACCTCTACAGGGTGTTTGCTGGTCAGCCACAATTTGTTAATGTCTTCAGTCAACCTATTTGCAGCTGTCTGGCTTGAAGTAATCTTGAGTGCATCTTTCCTGCTCATTTGAATGTGAACATCAAGTGCGTCACTATAAAACTAATCAATCTCATTCCCTAGACATCGATTTTGCAAAAATGCAAAGGAATCGATTCAAAATCGATTTTTTTTTACCCAGCCCTACTCACAAATGTTTTTTTAATAATCATTAATTCCTTCTGCATCAAACCTCTCCTCCATCAGTACATACATGAACCTGTCCACATTGAATATTTTACCCACTGATTTCAATCATACAGTCAAATTTTTCTATCTAAGGAAAACCAGTGGATTGCATCGACTCAAATGCAATCCCTCACACTAAGCATGCTTTTAGCGACAGTGGAGAGGAAAAACTCCCTTTTAACAGGAAGAAACTTGCAGCAGAACCAGACTCATTTCAGCCAATAATATTTTTTTGGAAGATCCGTTTTGATCCACTGCCTTATTATTGTTCCTGCTTGTTGCTAGCACACCCCCTCATTGGATACCCGTCCCACTTTGTCCCAGCTGTTTGTTTTCCTCTGTCAGATCTTCAGATATAAAACCATGCCTTGTGTATCTCATAACCTAGGACATCCTTTAACACTTTCCATACTCCTTCCATGTACCTCTGCAAAACATAAGTTTGGTCAGCCCCCTTCTCTCTACATACACTGCAGCACTTTTTCTGTTCTTTCCCATAACTCTTTTTTTTTTTTTTTGTCTGTGGGGGTCATAAAAATTGGAATTATGTTTTTTCTGATTGAACTCTCTGCTTGTCTACTAAAGTAATATATTTTTTTTCTTTTTGATTTTCTTCAAATAATAAACTTAAAAGCTTAATACATTCAAAAGTGAAGAAGTATGACTCATGTATTATTTAGTCCCTCTTTTACATAGACATTGATGTGTTTCTAGGTACTTGTTTTTATAATCAGTTTATTTAAGCAGTGAGAAATTGTTTTTATTTCAGAAAATGTCTTTCATAGTGAACGGTGTGTCCATGAGCTGTACACTCAGACCTCTCGTTCTGCATAAATCGCATCAATGCGCGTGGGATAGAGAAGATCAACCTGTGGTTATGCTCAGATGTTCAGGAAGGTTGCTTTTATAGCCACCTTCAGGTCCCCAATGCTGGTAAAAGCAGCTATTGGTACCTTTGCCTGTGTGGATCAGTAACAAACCCTGCTTGAAAATAGGGGTGTAAATAATAATCGTTTTGTATCGATGCATCGATCCAAAAGCCGACGATCCGATGCATCGACACGTCCGCAAGATAATTGATTCATGTTTTTTTTTTTTCCTCCGGTCTATTTTTATCCAGTTGCTCCTGGGCGTAATTCTCTCTCCCGTGCTGCGGTGCCGCTAAACCTATTTTGCCCTCCTACCGCGCTTCCTGGTTATACTCTTACAGCAGTTTGTTGCAGCAAGCTTCACACAGACATTTTTAAATTATGCTCAATATTGAAGCGTGGTCTGAGCTACACACTGTGGGTCTAGATATGGCCGAGGCGATGAGGAAGTGGGGGCGAGTTTAGTCCGACGACGGAGCGACATGAGGGCCAAAAAGAGCGGAGATCCAGCTCGAAAAAGGGTCCCAGCGTTCTCGCGCACCTCGCTCTTCTAGCGGGTCAAACTTCACGAGTTGTTTTCCGCAATTTCGGTCATAAAAACAAAACAAGCCGGCCTCCTGTCTGCTGCACTGTTTGCGGTGAGCTACAATCTGGGAGTGGAGCAGCGGAGCGTCTCTCAAGGGGGCGGTGACATCGACACACTGGAGCCTTCTTCTTCTTCTTTTTTTTAATGGCGGTTGGCAAACAACTTATAGGTGCATTACCGCCACCTTCCAGAATGGAGTATGGACCAGACAAACTATTATATTCTCCCTAAAATACCCGTTCTTCTTAGAAAATTAAAAATACTCCCCAAAAACTACATCCCCAGATTACCTTTGAAACAATTCCCTTATATCTAGTTTATTTTTATTCCTGTCTAACTCTCTACACAACATCTCTCTTTCCTGAGTATATTTATTGCATTCTAAAAAAATATGTTGGACAGTTTCTCTGGAGCCGAGGTATTGCATTGAACTCATTACACTGATATTGTGCAGTATTTTTGCAGTATTTTTTGATGCAACTTTTCTACTTCTGTTATTTGCTGTTGTTTCTAAAGAAAATGCATAATGATATTACAGCTTTCATTGATTTATTTCAAACTTGAAGCTTTGTTTAGCCTGTAAGGTGTAATAAAAAAATTATAATAATAAAGGAAAAATTTAACCGATTAATCGAATCGAATCGAATCGTGGTGTATTCTTGAGAATCGAAAATAATCGAATCGTCGGGTCAAGAAATCGATACTGAATCGAATCGCCATGATGGATGTGATTTACACCCCTACTGGAAAATGAAAACAGCATCTCATTAAACTTGTTAGCATAAAGTGCTCCAAGATGTCCTGGTAGATGGCTGAGCTAACTGCAGACTTGATCAAACATTGGAGCAGATGCAGCAGATAACATATACCCCATTTACACTACCCTTGAAAAACCGATCCATGCCGAGACCGGTCCGAGCTCGGATCAGTTAACCAGACGGAGCTTGGTTCTGACGACCGTTTACACATCACGCTATCTCAGTTCCTCGACTCCTAGTGATGATCTGCGGTATTACTGCCAGTATTGAAGGAGGAAATTAAGCAGTTGGTGGCGGTAATGCACCAAAAGTTGTTTGCCAACCGCCATAAAACACAAGAAGAAGAAGACGATGAAGGAGGGAGTCAAGCAAATCAAAATGGCGGCGCCCGTCACATTCAGAATGGTATGCTTGATTATTATTGCTGTACTTGGGTGTTATTATTTAAAAAGCCATTATTTAAAATGTTGCGTGGAGAAGATTTTGATTGTTGTTTATAGTTGTTCTTCTTCTTCTGTTTTGTGTTGGTTGGCTGGCAACTTCCGGAGGGGCATTACCGCCAACTACTGGAATGGAGTGTGAATCGCGATGTTCAGCCAGACAGAGATGACGCGTTCTGCTCATGCGCTCTTGTTATCAGAGAAAAACCGAGTCGAGCGCACCTCTGGAACTGGTCTGCAGTTATCTCGGTTCGGTTGTGTCGAGCTCGGTTCAGTTCAGTTTGCTTTCCATTTACACACAATTAGTTATCTCTCTTACTGAGCTCGGACCGGTCTCGGCACGGTTTTTCAAGGGTAGTGTAAATGGGATAATAGGACCCTAATTCATCCCACAGTGGACCTGCAACAGCTTGAGTTCCGGGCTTCCCCTCCTCTTTCATACTTGAAGCTTGATTTCAATACTTACTTTCCTTTGAGAAGAGGAATTTGTACCACAGAAAAAGTCTTTAATATTCTCTCCTTTGTCCAGCTAAGAAGCTGCTGACATTGTCTGTGGTTCAGGTCCAACACCAGGAATGTTACACAGCCCATGTGTAGCTCTGGCACCTCTCTCTGCAGCTACAACCCACACAAAGAGAATCTCTGCTAAGCTATTAAATAGGCCCTTTCTCATAAATATTCTCCAGGCTCCATTTCTCCCTCCTACATGTACACAACAGTTTTTCTTTTCACTCAACTTCCAATCAGAAGCTTGGGTACAGCAATCTGTCAGCATTCAGCTTCCTCAGTAACAGCCTTTTGACGTTTCTCCTGCTGGTGGCTGCCACCTGGACAACCTTTGACCCTGCAGTCTTCCTTATGATTAAAATGGCTAAATTGACACATTAAAACATGTTCTAGTTATTGTACAAATTTCTGAGGAGGTTAGTTTGGGGTTTCCCTTTTTTTTTAAGCCAGAGTAACAGCAAAAACGGACACAAAAATAACCCAAAAACTAGAAATAAATTAGTTCAAATAAAATGAATCCATAGAATAGACACTTTTTAAACTAAATTACTACAGATGCCCTTTTTAATCCTATTATTATGCATTGAGCTACAAATCTAATTTGGTTACTAACCGTTGAGTTATGAAAACAGATTTTGTTGTGGTTAACTTTATGTGGAAAGCTTCGCGTGGTTGTAAAACATGTAGAGCCAGTAGCTGTTCCTCATGAACTCTTGAAGAACCCGTGAAGTGTTGCAGACTTTCATAGAAGTTTTCTTCTCTCTGATTTCCTTCTTTTGGTCGATCAGTAAACTTGTGCTCCAACCCTGAAGACAAGCTACAGATCTACAGGGATAACTTTGAGAAGGCTTACATGGATTCTACAGAGAGGTTCTACAGAACACAGGCGCCGTCATACCTCCAGCAGAACGGGGTCCAGAACTACATGAAATATGTAAGTATAAGGCAGGAGTGCACTACTGACAAATACTGCTTTAGCTTTTCTTGTATAAATTTTTCAGCTCATCAAACAGATTTTATCATCAAACACGTCAAACCTGAGTAAATGGAAAACAAATCAATTGAAGATTTATTTCCCATTTACACTATCCCTATGAAACTGATCCATGTTGAGTTCAGATCAGTTCCCCTTTGGGTTTAGTGAAGTCTTTCTCAATTAAATCAGCTTCAGACCCTGTTGTGATTTTAGTCTAACTGCAGCTGTTGTGTTTCTGGCATCAGAGGTTATTTAGAGAAAAATCAGCATCATGAAGACAAAGGACCCTGGTAGATGGGCAAGGAGGATGTTCTGGGAGAAGTTTTAGGGCAGCGTTGGGTTAATCAAGATGATCAGATTGTTTTATTTATATCTTCACGTTTGCTGAGAGGACATGGTTCTGTGTTCAGTAACTTGGTCTTAAACTCCCGCCAGGCGGATTCAAAGCTGAGAGAAGAGGAGAAACGAGCGCTGAGGTATCTGGAAACGAGACGCGACTGTAACTCCGTCCAAGCTGTGAGTTTAATACTCAGTCTGCCTGTTTTAAATATGGGAATTTGATGCTATAAAAGTTAATGACAGAGTTATTCTATTGATGATGTAACAGAGTTTTCTATTAATACTGCTGATGTTTTCCTCTCCCTGCTTCCAGTTAATGGAGTGCTGTGTAAATGCGCTGGTGACGTCATTCAAGGAGACCATCTTAGCTGAATGTCCAGGCATGATCAAACGAAACGAGACTGACAGTGAGTCCAGAACCTGAACCTTCTAATGTTTTCACCTTCATACAGAGTTTCAGTGAACTACGTCGAGAGGTTTAAACATCTAAAGAAACTAGAGACAAAGTTAATGAATGCAGACTTTTGGGGTCACAAGAGTTTGTAAACTGACTGGATCCATTTTCTCTTCACCACAGGGTTACACCTGATGTTCTCTCTGATGGACAAAGTTCCCAGTGGCATCGATCCCATGCTGAAGGACCTGGAGGACCACATAATGAGCGCCGGCCTGGCCGATATGGTGGCTTCAGCAGAGACCATCACCTCAGTGAGCTTTTCACTCAGACTCATGAATGCTTTCAGTATGAGGGGGGAACAGTGTCTCTGTTCTTTAAAGTTTAGAGGAACCTTTTGAAACCGGTTCATGTTTTTTTTCAGCCTTAGATCTAGATTAAGCTAAAAAGAATTACATTTATAGTAATTTAATATTTAACCTTTTAATAAGAAAAAGAAAAAAATATTTTTTTATATGAGCTGTTGATTAGAAATGTTACGTTCCCACTTAAATGTGGATTTATAGTGGGCATCTTTTATAATAATTAAATGTTCTTCTTTTTCTTGGTCAATCAGACTATATATATATATATATATATATATATATATATATATATATATATATATATATATATATATATATCCATCAATCAATCTTCTTTCACTTATCCGGGGTCGGGTTGCGGGGGTAGCAGCTCCAGTAGGGAGGCCAAGACGTCCCTCTCCCCAGTCACTTCAGCCAGCTCCTCTGGGGGAATCCCAAGGCGCTCCCAGGCCAGCCGAGAAACATAGTCCCTCCAGTTGGATGAAAGCGTCTGCTAAATTCATTAACAAACTTTGATTGAAAGAAAAAAGAAGAAAATTCCCAGTCTAACTTGTGATATATTTCTAACAGCTGTGTTTGTCAGAAAACTGTCCAGTTAAAACTAAATATGGGTCGGTTTTCGTGAATTTGATTGAAAGGTTTCTTTTGTGCCTTATCTGCTCATTCCCTTTCACTTTCTAAACTTAACTCCTATAAAGTTATTTGTTTAAATGTTATTTTACTAGTTGGAGATCTCACAAACACAAAGAAAGTATGAACGGATCTGATACTGAGGTCCCAGTTTATCATCCAGCAGAAGGAAAAAAGAAATAAGAGATCTCCCCCATGTCAGCATCAAGGCCCCGGCTCCTAAACATTCTGTTAACATCAGAACATGCTGTCATTTTGTGATAAATGTATTTAAAGTAGGGCTGAAACAATTAATCAGATTAATTGTGATTAATTGATTATTGAAAAATTGTCAACTAATTTAATAATTGATGAATGGTTAACTGAATTTTAGAGACTCAAAAACTCGTCTTTAGCTGAAAGAGCGACCCACCTTGAGCAGCAATTATACCAAAATTGTAAAAGAAATGTTAACATTTGGAATTTAAGATAAAAATCTTCTTCTTCTTTCAATATCTTCTATCAAACACTCCTCTAGTGGAAAACTCTTACTTTCACCTGGTTAAATTTAGCAAAAAGAACCTTTTACTATCCGATTATTAATTGATTAATCAAAAAAATTATCAACAGATGATTCAATTTGCAAAATAATTGTTAGTTGCAGCTCTAATTTAAAGACTGATTAAACGTTTTTAGTGTTGATTTGTTTAATGAAGAGGAAGTAAATAGATAATAGAAAATGGTGGATGAATAAAAACCGTAGAATGGAGTAAAATTGTTGGAGTCAAGCTTTGGGTAGTTTACCCTTTAACTAGTTGGTTGAAAACAGATTTCTTTTTCTGCAGTTTAAGCTTTTAGGATCTGAAACCTGCTTTAATGTTTTCTTCTGCTGCAGGACTCAGAGAAATACGTGGAGCAGCTGCTGACTCTGTTTAACCGCTTCAGTCGGCTGGTAAAAGAAGCCTTTCAGGACGACCCTCGCTTCCTCACTGCTCGAGACAAGGTGAGTTTTTCTGTGCTGAACATTCAAAGGAGGCGATGAACAGTTTCCCTTTACATTTTTATTCTCTTTTCCAGGCGTATAAAGCTGTCGTTAATGATGCCACCATATTCAAACTAGAGCTTCCAATGAAACAGAAAGGGTAAGATAATTTTTACTACCAGCCGCTGCTTTTGGTTCTGATCCAAAGCCGAGCTTATGTCTTACTGATCGCTGTCATGCTTATAGGGTGGGGATGAAAACCCAACCAGAGTCCAAGTGTCCAGAGCTGCTGGCCAACTACTGTGACATGCTCCTGAGGAAGACGCCGCTGAGCAAGAAGCTCACCTCAGAGGAGATCGAGGCCAAACTCAAGGAAGTGGTGGGTCCTCATCAACAGAAACTCGTAGAAACATTCACGGTTTTTGCTTTATTTTTAAAGGAAAAGTCCGGTCTGCAAGGAATGCTAAATCGATCATTATCTATACCTAAAATTAATGCGTTTGCAGTGATTTCATGAATTTAGTGTTAATCGGTAAAAAAAATGAAAACATTATTTTTGTTGCGATCGCTGAGTCTGGGAGCGGCCATTTTCCCCCCAAATTAAGTAACACCTCACTCCTGACATCTTCCGGCAGTGACATCACTGTGCGGTAAGCCTAGCGCCATTCTCCCCGCTTTACAAGCAAAATCAATGGGAACTACTAGACCAGGGGTCACTAACGTGGTGCCCGCGGGCACCAAGGGGCCCCTCATGGACCACATGGGGTGCCCTCAGACTTCTAATAAAATAACAATTCACCAGTGGGCTAAGTTTGAAATTTTCTTCTGTTCTTTTTCTCTCCGTTTTTTATAATTTATAGATCCTTTCAAAATGACAATGTCTAAAATACAATTAGAACCTAAAGGAAACAATAAAAATTGTTAAAAAGGTTGGTGACGACCCCTGTACTAGACACATCTGCAATCAACAACAATTATTGAAGATTTCCAGAGGACTTCACCATTGAAATTCACCAGAGCTATAGTGAAACTGACAATGCCCACGTGCATGGCAGTTGGGTGTTGGAATACATCGGGTAAAAGTAATAAAGAAATTAGTTATTCCACCTTTAAATTAGTTATTCCACCTTTCCTCCGATTCCTGATCCTCCACAGACGGGTTCGTCGTTGGATTGCAAGAAGTGGTCGAAGAGGAAGGATTTGCCATCGAACTTCTGGCCAGAGAAAAAAACACGTAATATGTAGCCAACATTTGAAAGAAGAATGTTTTCAAGATGACTTAAATAATAGCGCGTTGTGACAAACACCAGATACAGCACTGGGACTTGATCAACAGCCGATACCGTACCATGACGTCACAAACCAATAGGTGGCAGTAGTGTTCTTTGACAAACATGGATGCCTCCAGTAAAGAACATTAAAAATGAAAATTACTCTTAATTGAAAACACTCATTTATTGAACAGTATGTAATAATTTCATATTTAAAGTACTTTCAGAAGTTTGATTTCTGAATATGAGTGGACTTTTCCTTTAACTGGGAGGAAAATTCCCACTGAGCATCATGTCCCTCTGGAGCTGGAAAAAAAGAGTCCTCAGTAAATCATAACTGCTCTTGAAATAAAGCAGCAAAAACAAAACTTTCAAAATTTGAGCATTAAGTAGCATTGTGTGGTTTATTAGTAAACTGTTTACTTCTTATAGCTCTTGGTGCTAAAGTACGTGCAGAACAAAGACGTGTTCATGCGATACCACAAAGCCCACCTGACCCGCCGTCTCATCCTGGACATCTCAGCCGACAGCGAGATCGAGGAGAACATGGTGGAGTGGCTCCGGGTACCAAACTCTTCGTACTCTACGTGTGATTTTAATACCGACTGGTTATCAGTTACAGAGGACCTGAACCCGTGATGTCATCTCTCATTACAGGAAGTGGGGATGCCAGCTGATTATGTCAACAAGCTGGCCCGAATGTTCCAGGACATCAAAGTGTCAGAGGATCTGAACCAGTCTTTTAAGGAAATGCATAAACACAACAAGCTGGCTTTGCCAGGTAAAACCCATTTATCTGCAGCCAGAACGGGGTCTGGTATTTTATATTATTTTGAAAATCTCTCACTGCCTTACTGGGCCTGACTGGGATGAAATGATGCACAGCATTTCCAAGAGCTCCTTAAATTTTTTCAATTTTTTTATTCTTTATTTCGAACATGCAATAGAAAAACAAAAATACAATAAAACAATGTTTAAAACATTGGAGAGAAAAACAACAAACAAGGTACCCTTCTTTCCTGAGTTAATATATCTCTATTACATGTGCGAAAAGGAGTAGGAAGAAGTAAAACTTATGTACTCCTACCCCTTTAATTCTTGTATTTCTTCAATTTACAATATTTATAATTATGTTGCTATATATATCCATATAAATACATACCTACCTACACATATACATACATAAATATGTATACACATATACCTTCATACATGTATACAAATAAATAAAACAAAAAACACAAACAAAACTTTCTACAATGCTTCTCTATAGCTTTTGAAAATAATTTCTTTGTACATTTTTATGAAAAGGAATATGTTTGGGCATTGCTTTAGGTTCTCATTTAGTTTGTTCCACTATTTAACTCCGCAAATTGATAAACATAATCTTAATTTTAGGTTAAATGCAGATAATCTTCTCTATATTCAAAATCAATTACATTTGTTTTTGTGTCTCTTTGCGACACATTTTGATGCCAGGATTGTAGTAATATGATATTAACAGTAATACAAACAAAAAGTAGCAAGATTTGTTGCTTTTGCGTTTTTTATTTTAAGTCAAGAGTTGCTAAATAAAGTACAAACGGTGCCTGTGTGTTAATTGGCTTATAGAGTACTAAGATAATGTAGCTAAAGAGAATAAATAAATGACAACATGGTGAAAGCATACATTACAAACCATTATGTATTTTGTATATACGGTTATGTTTTTATTAACTTATGTTCGTTTCCTTCCAGCGGACTCGGTCAACATAAAAATCCTAAACGCCGGCGCGTGGTCCAGGAGCAGCGAGAAGGTCTTTGTGTCTCTGCCAACAGAGCTGGAGGATTTGATACCTGAGGTGGAGGACTTCTACAAGAAGAACCACAGCGGCAGGAAACTTCACTGGCATCATCTCATGTCCAACGGCATTGTGAGTCTAAAGAATCAGCATCAAATAAAGGAAAACATGTCCTGCCTTCTATATTGAACTTTATAAACTAAGTCAAACAGTTTTAGACTGTCTGAGAGAACATAAGGCCTGTTGGCAGCAGGGCTTCAGGCCAAGCATGGGGCCACAGTGGAGGGGAACACTTCCCTTTTGCTGATGAAAGGGCTGTCAGAACCCTCCTCCATCTGAATCAATTATCGTCAGCTGAAAAGAGAGCAGACCCTACAATTAAATCATTTTTTCCATGTTTTTACTACGCTTGCTCTTTTTATCTTAAAAGCTCCTAAAAACATACAGAAGCAGAGAGTCAGAGTTTCTTTAAATGGACACACCAGAAGCACTGGGTCAGTTATACTTTCTATGATACAGGCAAAGGAAAGACACAATGCTAAATACAGACGAACTGGGTCAGGTGTACTTTCTGTGGGAAATCAAAACAACATTTTAGATTAGGCACCTTCCATCTAGCAGTGGTTTATGGTTGATAAGCTTCGCCTTTCCTCTTTACAGATAACATTTAAGAATGAGGTGGGGCAGTACGACCTGGAGGTGACCACTTTCCAGCTGGCTGTGCTATTCGCCTGGAACCAGCGGCCGAGAGAGAGAATCAGCTTTGAAAACTTAAAGCTAGCCACGGAGCTGCCTGACGCTGAGCTACGGCGAACCCTCTGGGTAAAGAGCCACTCAGAGTTTCAGACCAGTTTGTTTTTTACACCTTTGTGCTGATTTCATTAACCTGTCCTCCTTTTCTTCCAGTCTCTGGTGGCCTTTCCAAAGCTCAAACGTCAGGTTCTGTCGTATGACCCGGTGGTGTCCTCCCCCAAAGACTTTGCAGAAGGAACATTGTTCTATGTCAACCAGGAGTTTTCTCTAATGTAAGGAACCTTAAAGTTGCTTTGTGTCGGATGATGGAGGGTTTGAAGTAACGTGTTTGATTAAGTCCAGTAACTGTCCATGCAGAGAAGGGTTCACACTAGAACTGTTGATTTCAGGTTTCGCCAAACAAGGCATTGTTTATTGAGGTTACGGGTGTTTTTTGTTTGTTTTGTTTTTTTTCCTCAAGGCTTCAGTCGTCCCTTTTGCTTGTGAAGCAAATGCTTGCATGCAGCTCCTTGCGCAAAAATCTTCTTCTTTAGCGTGCCAATTGGTGGACGAATCTCTTTTTTAACGTCCATCTGCTGACTATCGGTCCTCACTGATACCTTTTCTTTTCTGGCCCCATTTTATATTCTGCATAACTAAATTATAAATTAATTCAGCTGTAAGCCAGAATAATCAAAATGAACAAAATAACTTAAAATGTGATGCTGTGTGTTAAAGCCGTCTAAATTTGGGCTTCAGACCTTCTCTGGATGATCTACAAATCTTCAGGGTTCAAATAGTCTTTCTATTCAATTCAATTCAGTTTATTTATATAGTGCCAATTCACAACACAAGTCATCTCAAGGCACTTTACGGTTCAACCAGATCATACAGTCAAATTGATGCAAAGTTTTCTATCTAAGGAAAACCAGTTGATTGCATCGACTCATTGACTCAAATACAATCCCTCACACTAAGCATGCTTGTAGCGACAGTGGAGAGGAAAAACTCCCTTTTAACAGGAAGAAACCTCCAGCAGAACCAGGCTCAGTGTGAGCGGCCATCTGCTGAGGCCGACTGGGGTTCAAGGAGACAGAAGCAGAGATACAAAAAGCAGCTGTAAAATGCAGCCCGGTCCAGGAAACACACAGCCAGGCAGACGAGAGCCGAGCCAGCTCCCATGCCAGAGGATTAAGAGTGCACATGTCAGAGAAACAAGAACCACACTGGAAAACAGGCTTATCTCCAGCATCTATAAACAAAGGTGTTGATAGAGGCAGCACAGCTGATATTTCTCTCCAGGATGAAGTCACAGCCAAACAGATGAGGCAAAGCTACTCTGAGAAAAAGCAGAGAGAGCAGAACGTTAGAAATTGAACTAATAGATTTCGCAGAATAGGAGAATAGAGAGAGAATGAAGCAGAATGATGAAATGGGTGTCCCTATGTCCTCCAGAAGTCTAAACCTATAGCAGCATAACTATAGAGATAGCTCAGGATAACCTGAGCCACTCTAACTAGAAGCTTTATCAAAAAGGAAAGTTTTAAGCCTAGCCTTAAAAGTAGACAGGGTGTCTGCCTCACGGACTAAAACTGGTAGTTGGTTCCACAGGAGAGGAGCCTGATAACTAAAAGATCTGCCTACCATTCTACTTTTAGAAATTCTAGGAACCACTAGTAAACCTGCAGATTGAGAGCGAAGTGCTCTGTTAGGAACATAAGGAACAATCAGATCTCTGATATCAGATGGAGCTTGGCCATTTAAGGCTTTAATGTGAGAAGGAGGATTTTAAATTCTATTCTGGATTTAACAGGAAGCCAATGAAGAGAAGCCAGGATGGGAGAGATATGATCTCTCTTTTTCATTTACATCAGAACTCTAGCTGCAACATTTTGGTTCAGCTAAAGGCTTTTAATTACAGTTTGTGGACTTCCTGACTTCTCATTTTTTCCCCTTCTGTTTGGGTGCTTTGTCTCCCTATTTCAGGTCAATTCCTCCAAACCTGAACAAGACAGCATATGTTTGTTGCATGCTCACACTTATGCACTGATTGATTTTGCTTCAATCTTTCCAGAAAAAACTCAAAGGTTCAGAAAAGAGGAAAAATTAACCTGATTGGTCGGCTGCAGCTCACAACAGAACGAATGAGAGAGGAGGAGAACGAGGGCATCGTCCAGCTTAGGATACTCAGAACACAGGTATGAAGGATGAGTTTCCGCCTGGTTCACAGTAACTAAAGCATGATGGGATGTGGTTTAACCTTTCTGGCTTCTTCTACCACATCCAGGAGGCCATCATCCAGATCATGAAGATGAGGAAGCGCATCAACAATGCACAGCTGCAGACAGAGCTGGTGGAAATCCTAAAGAACATGTTTTTGCCACAGAAGAAGATGATCAAGGAGCAGATAGAGTGGCTGATAGATCACAAGTACATAAAGCGGGACGAGATGGACATAAACACCTTCATCTACATGGCGTAGCGCAGCACACATGAGTCTTCACTTTGTCTCATTATTTCAGGTCTGATGGACATTTCCAGGCCTCCTAAACTGCTGAATTCAGGGGACTGAATTCAGACTGAGACCTATTTAAAACTAACTTCCTGCCTTAAATTTGCGCAAAGGAAAAGTCAGCAGAAACAGAAGAAGCTGAGAATCTGCTGTCCAGCTGAGGTCTGTCAGCTGTCCATGATCTGTTCCTGATGCTGGCTCACCACAACTTCTACAATAATACTATGACTGCTACACTCCTGGTCAGGGTTTGCACAAGCCTAATGAGAATGTGGGCGGAAAATGAAGCTGCAGAAGCTCTGCAGTCCAACCCTGGTTCCAGAACACTTGAACTAAAATGCTGCCATGTTCCCTCAGACACGATGCTGCTATGTAACCAAGCTACTCCCTTTTCCACACGGCTTTGATCCGAACTTCATTTAATAAGCCAGAGAAACACTTCACAGGTCAGAGAGTGCTGGACTGAACCATCATCTCTGGCCCCGGGTACATATGGGGGGGAGGGGGCTGATGACTGTGTTTTATGGTGCATTTAAGTTGCACTATAAATTCAGTTCAATTATGGCTAACATGCACACAGAATGCAGTGGGAGTTCCTCAAATTACCAGTTGATTTTCTTTTCAGATGCTTTGCACTGGCTGAGATCAGCTGTTGCATGAATCAGCATGTATCTGGGAACATGTCCCGCTCAGTGGCCTGACGGCTGAGAACAGGCTAAATCCTGCTGGTTTCAGGTTAATTGCCAGAACTGAAACCCTTAAAAATGGAGCCAAGCACCTGTTGCACAGAAGAAAACCTGACGGAGTTGCTGAGGGTTGAGGTGACTGATCAGTATTAACAGAACCACCTGATCGGGTCGTCTCTCGTGTTCAAACAGTGAAGGAAGGATCCGTACAAACTGGGATAGTGCTGTTTGGCTGGTTCTAATGTGGCACAAACCAATCAACAGGTCGATTCTGCAGCCTTCTGGCAGCCATGTTGAACTAGAACTCAGGGCTCCATGGAGACTTCAGACGATCTAAGCTGACGATGTAGGAGGAGTTGTTTGATTTCAGTTTGGCACCTTGATTTAAATTGATTTTAAAGATTATTTAATAAACATGGTCTACAATTACAACGAATGATTTTAAAGTCATTAAATTGTGGTCATTTCAGATTAAAATGAAGTCGATTAACATTTTTCTTCTTTTAGGGGCATCAGAGCAGTTGAGTACGGAAGAGGATTAGGGCTACTGAAAAAAAAAAAGTTAACTGATTTTTACATTTTATTTCAGTTTAATACGGGAAAAAAGTCAGAATTCTGAACTTTTTTCTCAGAATTCTGAACTTTTTTCTCAGAATTCTGAACTTTTTTCAAAGAATTCTAAACTTTTTTCAAAGAATTCTAAACTTTTTTCTCAGAATTCTGACTTTTTTCTCAGAATTCTGACTTTTTTCTCTGAATTTTGACTTTAATCTCAGAATTCTGACCTTTTTTCCCAGAATTTACTTTAATCTCAGAATTCTGACCTTTTTCCCCAGAATTGACTTTTTTCTCAGAATTCTGACTTTAATCCCAGAATTCTGACTTTTTTAACAGAATTCTGACTTTTTTCTCAGAATTCTGACTTTTTTCTCAGAATTCTGACTTTAATCTCAGAATTCTGACCTTTTTTCTCAGAATTCTGACTTTAATCTCAGAATTCTGACCTTTTTTCTCAGAATTCTGACCTTTTTTCTCAGAATTCAGACTTTAATCTCAGAATTCTGACCTTTTTTCTCAGAATTCTGACTTTAATCTCAGAATTCTGACCTTTTCTCAGAATTCTGACCTTTTTTCTCAGAATTCTGACCTTTTTTCTCAGAATTCTGACTTTAATCCCAGAATTATGACTTTAATCCCAGAATTCTGACTTTTTTCTCAGAATTCTGACTTTAATCTCAGAATTCTGACTTTAATCTCAGAATTCTGACTTTAATCTCAGAATTCTGACATCAAGCCATAGCCATGTCTGTTTTAGAGACTAGCTCTCTTGTATTAATGACCTTCTGCTCCTCCATTAAAGAGGGGACCCCTCGGGCACGTAAAAAGTTGCCTAATTCCGTCATTTTCCACCAATGTGTCACTGGTCCTCTCAGACAACTTACATCTTTGTCAGTTAAGCTGAGTGCTCCCACATCTCTTTCTTCATGGTGCCCATCTACATTAAAATCCAAAATTCTGAGATTAAAGTCAGAATTCTGAGGAAAAAGTCAGAATTCTGAGTAAAAAGTCAGAATTCTGACTTTTTTCCCCACGGTAAACTGAAATAAAATTTAAAAATCTGTTTACTTTTGTTTTTAATTTTTCAGTGGCCCTAATCCTCTTCCGTAGTTGAGGGGTTGGGTTAACCCTAGCTATTATTTTTAGTTCCTTCGATGTTCAAACATTGTGTGAGGATATTTTCTTGAACATGTATTATCCCTGTTATCAGATTCCCTCCATGGAAAGTACCGAGGGTCAGAGGAAGGTGTTGGAGTCCATGATATCCACACTGGTTTTGGACCAAACCTAGCGTCCAGAGAAACAAAGGCTAAAGTCAGTATTAGTGTTACAACACCAAGCTATCAGTGGGGGTGGGGTCTAGCAAGAGATGTGAATAAATAAACAGCACCTTATAATGAAATATTGTACAGGTGTGACTTTGGTCACGGCTCAGTCACTCAGGTTTATTCCTTCATTTATTTATTTTCCGTTAAGTTTCTGTTGATCTAGTTCTGCACCTCTGAAAATGATCAAATATGCTGATTTAGAATCAATCAGATTAAAATTTTTGCTTAAAGGTGATCATTTTGGTCCAATTCTTTAAAACGTTTTTTGTTTTTTGGTTATTTTTAAGAATCCACAACTTATTATACACTGCTCAAAAATAAATAAATAAAGGGAACACTCAAATAACACATCTTAGATCTGAATTAATAAAATATATGTAATATTGGTTCTGTACAAAGTTTAATTTGCTGAAAACAAAATCACAGAAAAATCAATTTAACCGACGGAGGCCTGGGTTTGGAGTCACACTCACAAAGTGGGAAAACAAATTGATCCAACTTTTAATTAAAGTCCTTAAAACAGGTCAAAATGATGCTCAGTGTTATATGTGTCCTTCAAACGCCTGCATTACCTCCCTACAACACCTGGGCATGCTCCTGATGAGGTGGTGGATGTTCTTAGGGGTTCTCCTCCCAGACCTGGACTAAGGTATCCGTCATCTCGTGGAGAGTTGGTGGTGCAGGGTGATGTTGGTCCAGATGTGCTTGATCAGATTCAGGTCTGTGGAACAGGCAGGCCACTTCACAGCTTCAATGCCTTTATCTTACAGGATACACTCCAGCCACATGACGTCTAGCATTTTTCTGCATTAGGAGGAACCCAGGGCCAAACACTCCAACATATGATCTCAAAAAGAGCCCGAGGATCTAATCTCTGCATCTAATGGCAGTCATGCTCCCTCCTGAGCAAATGGAGGGCTGTGCCACCAAAAATATGCCACCCCTCACCATTACTGACCCATTGCCAAAGCGGTCAGGGTGAAGGATGTTGCAGTCAGCAGATCTCTCTTCACAACGTCTCCAGACTCTTTCACGTCTGTCACATGTGCTCAATGTGAGCCTGCTTTTGTTGGTGAATGGGGTGGCGAATTTGTCAATCCTGGGGTTCTCTGGCATATAGCAAGAGTTCTGGTAATTGTGACACTTTGCCAATGGAGTAATAAAATCTACATAAAAAAAAAAAAAAAAAAAAAAGCAGTTATTTCAATCTTTACAGATAAATAAACCTGGAAGTTTTGTAAGCTTGTAGTCAGACTAATTCGTTAGAAATGTAAGAAGTAGAACTAAATGACTCGAGTAAAGTTTAGATTGCCAACATTCTACTGAAGTAATGAAGTATTTGCACTTTAATTGACACCTCTGATCCTGGAGTTTATACTGTAATTGAAAGTATTTCCATCATAAGCTGTGGTATTTAATATTCCTCTGACCCTCCTTTGGATATTTCTACAGCTCAGTTTTTTTCTCCAAATCATTTAACAGGATTTGGAGAAAAGGCATACACAGAGCTTATCTTTAACAGAAAAATAATGGAGCAGTGTAATTTCTGCTGATTAACCATGTCCTTAATACTCTGGGGCCCTCCACTGTTGGCCCCCCACCAGCAAAGGAGCTCAGAAAACCTGCTTGAATGGTGTACCTGGTTTTCTTTTAACACTTCCTTTTGTTTTGGAAGGGATAAAAATGCTGATAAAACTACAAAATAAAATATGCACATTTAAATCAAAAAATTGTTTTTGAAAATGCACAAAGAAAAAAAAAAAATTTTTCTCTATTCCTATTCATTTTGTCCAGATTTTTATTAACCCCTAGAACCCTACGGACCCACCGGTGGGTCCAGCTGCTACGTGACCTCGTAATTTTAACAAACCCCCAGTATTGATGTAAAAAACACATTTGGCACAGTTTGGTGACATTTTTGGATAAATGTGCCAAAATGGCCTCTCCGCCTAAGAAATTTCTCACTAATACCATTCTAAAATAAATATGATTCATCTGATTGATTCCAAATTTGGTATATTTTTACACAACATTTAGATTTAAAAGTCTGTACTACTTTTTTGTGCTATAAATAATATTTTGGTAGTGTTTTGCAATGTTTATTTCAAAGAAAATTTTGGCGAGGTTCAAAAAATGCAAAATATTTTGTATTTTGTCCCTAATATTTCAGGCAGGGTCAAAGCTACAATGGTGCTGACACCAGAAAACCATTCATGACATCTTCCCTTTACAGACGTACCAAAAGTTTCTTCTTAAATCTAATAGCTGTGAGGCTATAAGTGATTTACTTTTGTGTGTTTTGTCAGGCAGAAATTTATTTATACCCCCTTAGGGTGTAAGAGGATAAACCAAACGGATTCTTCCACTTTGTTAAACCAAAATATCTATATACCCTGCTTGAAGATATTTATTAGAGACCCCTCCTATTGGTACAAAACCCCCTATTGTCAGTATGAAACATCCCAGAGTAGTCTGCATCATTTCAAACATGTAAGCTAAGGAACAAATTGAGGGAACAAAACTATAAAGGTGAAGAACAGTGAATGGAAAGAGTGACCTGAAGTTGTTCAAGTTTCCAGGCATAAGTCAGATTTGGGATATAAATGTTAAGATGTGTCAACATGCAGCACAAAGAGACATGTATGTACAACACAGCAAACATGTTTTTAATAAACTGAAACAAACAGATGAGGTGAACCTTGTCCCCGAGGGGAGAGGCTAATGTTTGAATAGAAAAACTTTATCCAAAGAATTAAAAAGCAGCTGCAGTTCTGTACAAGTCCACCAGGTGGTGCTGAATGTCAACAACATCCTTCCTACCACCAGGGCTCAAAATGCCTTCCTAGTTTCCTGCATGTTTCAGAACTTCATCATCTTCTGACAGATGGAGGGACTGATCACAACACACTGCTGCAGAATGTTAAGGACGTGTTGTAGGAGATTGAGGACCACAGCTGGAGACCAACACTCAGGAAGTAAACACTTTGATAGAAGCATGTAAAAAAAATACCTTCACAAAAGAAATACTACAACCACTGATACCTTCACAATATAAGTCCTGTTAAAGCCGTAGCCTTTCAAAACAAGAGCTTCCAAAAAGCTGAACTAATAATATCAGGTTATTGAGTTTTCATTACAGAGTGAAACAATGATAATCAACAGTATTACAGTAAATAACTGTAACATATAAAAGTCCAGGGGTGATGCTGAGAAACTAGTCCATGCATTTGTTACTTGAAAGCTGGACTATTGTAATTCTTTACTATCAGGAAGTCCACAAACTGTAGTTAAAAGCCTTCAGCTGATCCAAAATGCTGCAGCCAGAGTTCTGATGAAAATTAAAAAGAGAGATCATATCTTTCCTATCCTGGCTTCTCTCCATTGGCGTCCTGTTAAATCCTGAATACAAATTAAAATCCTCCTCATATATAAAGCCTGAAATGGCCAAGCTCCATCTGATATCAGAGATCTGATTGTTCCTTATGTTCCTAACAGAGCACTTCGCTCTCAATCTGCAGGTTTACTAGTGGTTCCTAGAATTTCTAAAAGTAGAATGGGAGGCAGATCTTTTAGTTATCAGGCTCCTCTCCTGTGGAACCACCTACCAGTTTTAGTCCGTGAGGCAGACACCCTGTCTACTTTTAAGGCTAGGCTTAAAACTTTGCTTTTTGATAAATCTTATAGTTAGAGTGGCTCAGGTTATCCTGAGCTATCTCTATAGTTATGCTGCTATAGGCTTAGACTTCTGGAGGACATAGGGACCCCTATTTTATTATTCTGCTTAATTCTATCTCTATTCTTCCACTCTGCAGAATCTGTTAGTTCAATCTCTAATGTTCTTCTCTCTCTGCTTTTTCTCATAGTAGCTTCATCTGGTCTGTTCCTGTTTGGCTGTGACTCCGTCCTGGAGAGAAATATCAGCTCTGCTGCCATCAACACCTTTGTTTATAGATGTTGGCAACCTGTTTCTCTGACTGTAACTGGCTGGATGTGCTCTCTTCATCCTCTGACACGGGAGCTGGCTCAGAGCTTGTCTGCCTGGCTGTGTGTTTCCTGGACGGGGCGCCTTTTACAGCTGCTTTTTGTATTTCTGCTTCTGTCTCCTTAAACCCCAGTCGGCCTTGGCAGATGGCCGCTCACACTGAGCCTGGTTCTGCTGGAGGTTTCTTCCTGTGAAAAGGGAGTTTTTCCTCTCCACTGTCGCTACAAGCATGCTTAGTGCGAGGGATTGCATTCAAGTCAATGAGTCGACGCAATCAACTGGTTTTCCTTAGATAGAAAACTTTGAATCTGGTGAATTATCTCTGTAAAGTGCATTGAGATGACGTGTTGTTAAATTGGTGCTATATGAATAAACTGAATTGAACTGAAAGTACACTAAAACATTTTTTTCCCTACCATCTTTAAAGTTATGGTGTATTTGTTTTATTTATATAAACAAAAACAATATATAATAGCTATAGGCAGGTGAACAGTGTTTCAGCATCTGTGTGACCGACTGTTCATCCTGTTACAGTCAGACTCTCATTAGTTGGGATGTTTTCATTTAGCTTTCCTTAAACAAAATTAATCCTGGTCTTTTTTACCATAAAAAACTTGAACAGGTTTGATGATAAAATAAAGATATGCACCAGTCCACAGCTAAAAAAAAAATTTTTTTCATGATGTTCTTGAATTATCCTGGATTCATGAGTTTAAAGCAGCAGATCTGTCACAAAGGTTCACAATAAAAGCCTGGGGTTCTCTGTCTACACCTGTGAAGTTGAGGAGCTCCGCCTCCTGGTGCAGGTGTGTCGATGGGCCTGAGCACCTTATATATGTTAGCTTAGAGTTGATTTCCTCTGTATCGTTGTTCTTCTCCTGTTGTGTGCACAGTGTTAACTCCTCGCAGGGTCCCAGCATCCTTTGTAAGGGGAGACAGAGGTCCTGGACCTGGTCTCGCTGCCGATCCGGGGAGCAGATGTTTGCTAGAGGACGGCCATGGTGGGGGGCGGAGCTTGGTAGAGACGAAGCAGGGGCTGGGGCTGACAGAGGACAGCGTCTGCTGGCTGCCGTTCAGGAAGGACGAGGTGTTTGACCCTTGCTGGCAGCGATAGTTGTAGTACGCCTGCCAGCCCTGACGTTTGGTCTTCCAGCGGCAGCGCAGGATCCGGATGAAGGCCTGCAGGTGGGGAACAGAGGGATGAGAGAAAGAGCCTGAAGCAGCGGAGCTGAGCTTCATCAGAACATCAGCCGTTACCTGTTTGAACTCGCGGCTATAGTAAGGGTAGATGATGGGGTTCAGGCAGCTGTTGAAGTATCCCAGCCAGAAAATAACTTTGAAGAGCGTCTCAGGAGGACGAAGATTGCTGTTAAACGAGCCTGAAGATCAGAGAGGCAAAACGTTACTCTGACTTCATCACCGTTCTAAACCTTTTAACTATCAAACCTGCATTTTATGATTCAAATCAGTGTTTATAGCCGTTGATTTCATAAGACTTTAAGCCTTCAATTGACAGTTTTAACTCCCTCTAACTTACAAATAGACCAGACAACATGTGACTCCCAGACCTAGACCCAGGTGAAAGCCATGAGGAGGGGACCAAAGTACAGCGCAGCAAATCTGGTCCAAAACTGCCTATGATTACAGATTACAGGACAAAGCTTTGTGTTAAGGAAGTAGGAGAAAATCTCCTCCAGTAAGATTTATAAACAATAGATTACCAGGAAAAGTCAAGAAAATATGTCAGCTTAGAATGATGAAGTCCTATTACACCAGTTACAGTAGCAGCCATTCAAACTTTCTCCACTTTCCTTGATGGGTCCTTGGCTGGTTCACTACAATTCCTTCTTAAACATCTATCTTTGTACTAAAATATTCTTTCTGTCATGATTTGTGTACATTCAGCGTTATCTCCCTGTCAGACCCTGTAATTCAGTAGCCTCGTGAAACCATCCTGATCTCGCGAGCTTTCAAGATTTCACTCGCTAATCAGGCTGGAGACTCTCCGTTGAAGAAAATTTGGAGCCGTTCACCAAACGAATGTCCAATCAGCGTTGGCTTTGAGGCGGATTGAGGTGTGACGCAACGAGAAGCGCGACAGTTCAGTCTAAAGAACATGGCGGCTTCAGCCGATGAAACTAGCATTAGCGTGGCTAACGAGCAAGTTTTATCGGAATTACAGAGTATTTCTTCACTGAAAGAAGAGCAAAACACTGCTCTGTAGGCTTTTCTCAGAGGAAAATACGTTTTTGCTCTTCTCCCGACTGGTTTCGGCAAGAGTAGCCTGGCTTATGGTTGTGTTTTCGTCGTAGTTCTGTTAGTACGTCATATGCTTCGTTGATCTGATTGGTTTATTTGGCCCGTCTATCACCAACATAGGCCAATCAGCTAACCAGTATTTTCGCCCCTTCCCAAAATTACTTCAACGGAAGGTTTCCAGATGGATATGTGGAGCAAATCCATCTGGCGGAGTCAGGTTAGTAATTCAGTGTAAGGATGGAGTCCGAGTAAAAAAATATACACGCCCAGGAGAAGGAGGGGGTAAATCCATTGGCTGGAGGGAAATTTGCTTGGAGTCGCAGGGAAGTGGTCCATTCGGCTGGCGTTTGACTGGGATGGGCCATTTTGAATGGCTGCTACTGTCGAAGGGTACTAAGGTTATCCTAGCGCTGCAGCAAATCCTCATCAAAGATTATCAGTGGAGATAGATGCTGAAGAAGTTTTTTTTTTCTTTTTTTTGGAGCTGAAAAGAACAGTTAGTTTTATATTGCACCAGCTTTGGGAATACACAGCTAACCCTGCAGCTTTGTTTATTTATTATTAGGATCATCATTAGCTGTGCTTTACACCCAGCTACTCTTCCTGGGGTCCACATCATTAAAATACAGTATACAATGTAAATTCATAAACATGTTTGACAGATGAAAAATATCATATCCATATCAATAAGACTGAACATTCATAGAAAAGGAGAAAGTTACAATTAAAAATTTTAACATTTTGATGAATAAGTTATTTTGTCGTCTGGGCACCAGCTGCCCAGACGACTGAAACTTGGAGACAAAACATCAGACATCATAAAGACAAAAAAACTTCCTAAACCTGAAAAATTAAAACTTTTGTGCACAAGTTTTGATCTTGTGCACTAAACTACTGCAGCTCAGCTGAACAGTTGATTTTCAACTCATGTTAAAAAAACAGGAAACTGTTGTGCAACTTTAATGTAAGATATTTGTGTCTCTTTTAAGAGGCAGGAAGATTTTTAGAAGCTTTAAAAATCTCTTAAAGGGAAACAGAACTAGAAGAGGAGGAGCAATTAATAAAAACATATTTTTCTTCTATTTTGCCCGTCTAAAATAATCTATTCCCTTTTCCATAATTAGTCGAAAAAACACTGATGATGTTGGCTTTTACTGTAACTTCTGACTGTTTGGTTTCAGGGTAGTTTTTATATTTTAAATGAAAGATAGGAAATAAATTAGAAACAGCCCTTCTCCTTCCAACATTGGAATAAAAGGATCTTTCCTTCTCTTCCACAAGCAGCTCTCTGGTTGATGAAGCAGCTGAGCCACTGTGTTTCCAGGGATTTTCCTGGACTTTGGTGGTTTTTAGGGGATCAGGTTTTGTATTTTTCTTCGATCCGACAGACTCCTGAGCAATGGGATTGGTTTTCCCTGCTCATGGACTTGTAAGGTAATCCTGCGCCTCAGGCTGTGATTGCTGACTATATATGAAGAGTTTCCCAGTTAAACCAGACAACGGGCAGGATAAAAACACGGGACACCTGCCTACCAAGCATCAGTCCCAGTAAAACCCACATCTTTCCAAGTTTGGAGTTTCTCCTCCTGATATTGAGGATGGAGTTATTTTGCTTTGTTTTTCGGGTAATTTAAGGATTTCTAATGCTGATTCCAGGAGGTGTGTCTGGAAGAATGCAATAGGTTTATTTCACCTTCAGATTAAATCAATACTGACATTTAACACGCAGGTTCAAACATATAGGCGACCATTTGGGTAAAACAAAACTTTTCTTGTCAGGGTTTGAGGTTGAGGTTTGGAGGACCCAAATGCAGAGGCAGAGGGGCTGAGGGGAATTCTTGTAGTTTTTAATGATGAAAACAGTTAACAAAGGCAAGAATCCAAAAATCCAACAAAAAATGTAACAGACCAGAACCACGAAGACATAAAGGGAAAACACGCACAAGGAGCCAGGGAGAGACGAGGTGAGAGGACAACGACAGGACCAGCAACAACAAGGAACCAACAAAGAGTGAGAGCAGAGGGAGAGCGTATATAGCTGACAGAGACAAAGGGAGGGCTAACGAGCTGACAAGGAGCAGGTGTGAGAGGAGACAACAAGGGAGCCAAGGGGAAAGGAACAAACACACACAAGAGGGCAACAGAGGACAACAGAAAAACATGAGAACTAACAAATCTAGAAATTACAACAAAATAGGAATTAAACCAATAAAACTAGAAAACAAGGAGCAAAGTAAAGCATAACATGACCAAAACCATGACATTTCTATTTGCAGGACTGGAGGTGGAAGGCAGTTAAAGATCCGGTTCAGGTTTTCTAAAGACAGGAAGCCGACAGAGCCTGCTTTAAATGCTATATTGGTTTCCCTAAATACATTTAACAATATGGTATTTTCAACAAGATCATTTATTTGGACTTTACTTACAGTAGCAGCCATTCAAAATGGCCCTTCCCAACCAAACGGCAGCTGAATGGCAGTCTACTCCCCTGTGACTCCCAGCAAAATTCCCTCCAACTTCCAGCCACTGGAGTGACCCCCTCGTTCTAGTGGGGGTGCTTTTTTTTTTTTTTATTTGACTCCAGCCTTTCACTGAACTACAGGGTCTGACCCAGAGATTATGCTTTTCTATAGATCTTAATGTCCACAAATCATGACAGAAACAATATTTTAGTACAAAGATTGATGTTTAAAAAGGAATTGTAAGGAACCAGCCAAGAGCCCATCAAGAAAAGTGGGGAAATTTCAAATGGCTACAACTGCATTTGGTAAATTCCAAAATCATTCACTTAAAATTAATTATGAAAATATCCCAATTTTAAAATTCTATTTATCAAACTAGTTCTTTAAAGAAAAAAATATGAAGCATTTCCTGTGTTTGGGGAACGATAAAAGCAAATTGATAAATATTAACTGATACTAACTAAATTGGAATGGCACAATTATAAACTAATATGTTCCCATCTGGTTCTTACTCAGCTTTTAGTCTCTGTTTGGTTTTGTGGATCTGCTTGTTGAGCTGAATCCAGGTATTAATGATGCTGTCAGGCTCACATAGAGCTGCAGGAACTTTTAATGCAACACTGCAGCTGCAGTGTTTTCACTCTGCAGCTCCACTGAGGACGCAGTGCAGTTCATGACTCAGCATTTCTGAGTCACTCAAGACATATTACAATAGCTCTGTTTGTTCACCGTCCAAGACCACCTGACATCATGGATCCAATCAGGAGGTCAGAAATCAGAACCAGTCAAAATCATTACTGCAGCAGGTTAGAAAGCCTGCAAAGTGAAATAAAATGGACCATACCCCTAAAGCAAACTTCCCAAATCACTGAAGGCATCAGTTAAAAAAAACTATTTTACAAATCTTCAGAAGAACTGTTCAAGTACTTTTTCCTTCCTTGAAGATTTTATCACAAAGTTCATCGTTAAGAACAGGTATCCTGGATGATGTTTTAATTATCGATTTTTCTCAGCACACCTGGGTCAAATGGTTGCTCATTAGCAGCGATATGCAGAACTTTCAATTTGCTGAGGTGGTAGCAACTACCTTCAAGGAGAAGAACTAAAATACCAGATAGCAGATTTGCATGACATTCCAGAACTGTGAAAAATTAAGGGCAGATACTATTTGTAGTTCACTAATTTGTTGTTGCCATTTGGCCAAGTTGTTCAGCTTGAGTTTTCAAAGCAGAGTTCTAGTTTCTTTGTGGTAATAGGTTCAACCTTAGTGAACATGTGAGGAGAATTAAGTTACTGTTTTCTTTTTGGTGTTTTTAATTAAAGGTGTAGTGGAGAATTTTCTTTGTCCAGGTGGATCATCTAAATAAGTGATCCTCCTAATTATCATTCTGGTGATATGTTCATGTAAGGCCGTCCTACGTGCTCGCCCCTTTAGCTATCTTTTTCTGCCCATGCACACTTTCAGGCATATATGTGTGGTGAGCTCCGGTTTCAGACAGTCATTGAACCTCACTTTTCTCAATGCGGTTCTTTGAAAATGTCTGAAAGATAAAAAATGTCTATGAAGTGTATGAGAAGAAAAGAAAGGCCTCAGAAGAGGCAGATATATCCCAGAATACTTTGCGTGTAGAGCTCTCCTCGCAGAGCATTATGGGATT